CTGAGTTCTGATGGGTCGGTTCAGATCGTCTCTGAAGATCAGACACCAGAACAGAGGTGCAGCAGAAGAAGAAAGGACTTCCTGTGTTCAGGTTGATAGAAACCTGGATCTTTTTCTAGCTTGTGGCTCTGCTTCCAGCGTAGATGTTCTCCAGGTTCTGGTCTGGATCTAGTGGACTGTAGAGCTCATCAGGTTTCCTCTCATCACTCTGAGATCTTCAGCTTCTTTAGATTCAACCTGAAGCTTCTTCTGACAGCTGCAGCTAATATTTAGCATGATGTTTATTATTCTAGCCTCAGTGTTTCTGCTCTTCATGTGACTCCACTGAATCCAACTCTGATGTCGTCACTTCACAAGTGATGAAGATCCATTTTTCTTTCACTTCCTGCTCATTTCTTTCCAAAGCTCCATGTTTTCCAGGAGGAGCTTCAATGTTCTCCAGCTCTTTAGATGATGAAGGAACTCAGACTGACTCCACCCGGCTGGAGCTCCAGGTGAGCAGAAACAAATTAGTAAATTATTGTAAACTAGAAATCCGTCTAACTGAACTACAATCGTTTTAATATTCATCCTAAATAAATCATTTTCTATTAGTTTATAGTTTGTTTCATTTCTAACAATGTTTCTTTACACCATGGAAGGATTTTATTATAGACTTTGTAAATAATCAATATTGTTCTGATCTCTCCTGAATCAGAACATTTTAAAGTTTCATTAGTTAAATTAAATAATCAGACTCAGTTATAATTCAGATCATTTTCTTCTGTATTTTTTTTCTATGAGTTTCTCCAGATCAACACACAATAATTCATTTATGGAAACATTAGGCAACATTAAAACATGTAAAGTGATTTAATGTTCAGAAAAACTGATTGTGGAAAATATTGCAATAGATTTTTACATTCTAGATTTTTTACCTTATCAATAAAATCATTACAATGTCATTTTTTGTCAAGTGATATTTTTCATTTTCTTGTTACTAAACATTAAAATGTTCCCATTATTTAGTGTTAATCTATTTTTGTCACATCATTAATATTTGTAATTCTCCTTCCATTAAACTGTTGCTGCTCCAAACTGACCAGATCAAAATGATGTATCAGCAAATAAAGTAAATGTTAAATTAGATTCGTTGCATAAATCATTTCTGTAAAGTTAGAAAAGTTTAGGACCCGGTTCTGACCCTGGAGGTTTTCCACAGGAAACTTCTAGTAAATCTGAATTCAGATTATTTGTACATTTTGGTGTCTTGAGTAACTTTTACCCCAGAATGTGAAATGCCTCATGATTCAGGAACAAGAGATAAAAAATATATATAAATAAATATAGGAGACGGTTTCATAACTTAATATCCAGAAGTTTGCATCCATCTCCTCAGGTTTGGTCAGAATTTCCTTCAGTCTAATTTGGGTCAAATGTTCTGGTTTCCTTCCACAAGGTTCTGATGATGCATTGCTGGAGTTCTGGTCCGTTCCTTCTTACAGAACCGGTGACGGTCTTTACAGAAATATTTACTTTTATGACCAAATTGATAATAAAATACCAACCATCAGAAGGCCTGTTCTTCAGGTCAGAGCAGCAGAAAAGTCAGGTGGACCGTGACGTCATCAGTTACGCAACATCCGTCACATTTACTTTCGTTTTGAATTCACTTGTTCAGGTGCGGCTCCGGTCCGTTTGTTGGGTCTGAGATTGTTGTTTAAATTTTCTTCTTTAACTCTTCGGATCGTTTGAACAAAATGTAAGTTTGATTTGTTTATGTCTTGAATTTTCTAGTCACTTTATTTAATTTTTTCCTGATTGTTTCTAATCTCTGATGTTTGTATAACAGTTTCACTTCTGATTTCGGTTCAAACTTTAATATCTGCTGTTGAAGGTTAATCAACAGGATTATTAGATTACTGATTAACTGGAATCAAACATGATGAACAGCTGATGTTACTCTGTTTTCTTCTCCGAACTGATTCATGTTTTCATTTCCTGGTATTGAATTCTAGTCTCCACCATTGACGTCAGCAACAGTTTCCTATTGCTTTCTTTCAAAATAAAATATTCTTAAAATGGTTTTGATTCAGTCAGATGATGAAATAGTTAATCTTTAATGGGGCGAATAATCCACTTGTAGAAATTAATAATTAACTAAAATCCTTCCAGTTGTTCAGGTTGAATCAGTGAATGTAAATGCTGCTCCATGTCTCCATCTAGTGGACTGATAGTAGAAGTGCAGCAGCTGATGCAGCTTCCTCTGCCTCTCTGCTGTCTGACTGCATTCACCTGACACTGATATGAAGCAGAGAAGAAGAGCCAATCAGAGGA